CGGGTCCGCGCCGACTTCCGGACAGCGTGTGACGTCACGTGACGCAGAGCGCGTGCGCCGGGGGGCGTCCGCGTGTAAACAAACCCACGCAAGGCCCGAGAGGCGCTGCGGCGGCCATGGGTGCTGGGGGAGTCCCAGGACCAAGCCGTGGGGCTGGGCCAGGCGGGAACAATGTCGCTACGCCCAGTGTACTCTGTGAGCACTGGGTACCAGCATGCAACACGCGCCGCTGTGCCGCCACTCCTTTTAAGCGCTGAGGCCCGAGGTCGTTAAACCATGAGCCCTGGCATACACCGCGCGCTGTCGCACCGCGAAGCCCCGTCAGGCGTTGCGAGTCCCGGCATGCAAGCGGGCCACCGGCCAGCCCCTCGCGCGCTAGGGCGGGCGTCGTGAGAACTACGAGTCCCGGCATGCAACGCGGGCCGCGAACCCGCCGTCCTGTCACGTGCTGAGGCCAGTGCTCAGTCTGCGAGTCTCCGCACGCCAGCGGGCCGCCGTCGGGCCCGTCGTGCGCTAAGGCGGCAGTCGTGAGAACTACGAGTTCCGGCATGCAACGCGGGCCGCAGCCCTGTCACGTGCTGAGACCAGCTCTCCTCGGTCTGCGAGTCTCGGCGTGCTGCTGCCCGGTGGGGCTCAGAAGGCGGTGGGCGCCGGGCCCGTGACGTCGCGCTGGGTCATGTCTTTGGGCTGTTCTGCTCTGGCCCAGCCTCTCGCTGTCGGAGCCGCCCTGCCGACGTGCCCGCGCGTGGGGAGGCCTCGGTGCCGACGGCGGTTCGCAGTGCAGGAGAAGTAATGGAAGTGGTCGTCTGTGGTGACCTTGAAGGGCATTCTTCACAGCGTTCCCAGAGACTGCGTTTCCCTTGGAAATGTGGAGCGGAGCACCTGTTCCAACGACAGAGCCCCAGACGCAAGAAGCAGAAGCTGACAGGATCGAAGGGAGGCCGACAGTTCTACAGTGGTCTTTGGGCTCCTCGGTACCCCACGTCAAGACGACTAGAACGGCCAACTAGAAGAGCAGCAAGGACGTAGCGGACTGGAGCAGCCTTGAATCAGGACGTAACAGGCTCCAAAACAGCACAATGCACATCCACTTTGTCTCCACCTGGAGCTTCCTCCAGTGTGGACCGTCTAGGCCATAAAACGACTGTCAAAAAATTTGGAAGGAATAAAACCATACCAACTGTGTTCTCTGACCATGAAGTTGAATTAGAAGTCAACGTGGAAATTTACAGTTGCCTGGAAATGAAACAATACTCCTAAGTAACTGATGTGTCAAAGGAGAAATGAGAGCAATAAAGAAATGTTTATGAATGGAACTAGAAAATATACTAAAATTTGGGTGCTGCATCTAATGCAATGCTTAGAAATATATGGCTAAAGTATATTTTAAAAAGAAGAAATAAATTAATAATCTAGTCTTTGACCATAAGAAATCAAAAAGAAGAGCCAACCAAACCCAAAGCGAAAAGGCAAGAAGTAGTGATTAAGGCCAAAATAAATGAAATAGAAAAACAGTAGAAGAAATCTACAAAACTAAAAGTTGGTTCTTTGAAAAGATTTTTCGAATTTGACAAAACTTCAGCTGGATTGACCAGAAAAAAAGGGGAAGGGGGGCTTTACCAAAGTTAGAAATGAAAGAGGAAATAGCACTCCTGACCTCACAAATAAAAAGGCTTCTAAGAGTAAAATGAACAACAGTATGCCAACAAGTTAGATAAGTAAAATGGATAAATTCCTAGAAAGACAAAAACAGAAGTGGAAGAAGAAATAGAAAATAGGAGTAGGCCTACAACACGTAAACAAGAGTTAATTAATCTCGCCTTTCCTGAGTGTCACGAAAGGCCTCGTGGGCTCCAGAGGTTTCGAAGCGGCTATGCTGTCTGCTGTTTTCCCCCCACCTCCTGGCCTGCGTCTCTGCCTCTGGTCCCCCCATCCAGTCTCCCCGGGAGCCCTTTCCAAGCCCAGGTTTTCAGGCCTGGCCCTGGTTGAAGGAAGCCACACTCCAGCTGGCAAGAGCTGTTGCTGATTTTCTCTCAGGGCATCCAAGAAGCAAGTACAGTGCCTCTGGAATTAATACAGTCTAGCGCTTTTGGTGAAAGCATATATTTTCTCTTAAAGTGATTTTGCCCCTTCTCCTAGGCAGGTAGCAAAACCATTTTCACGTCGTTACCATGAGGGGCAGTTGGCCCACCCCCACCCACACAGGTTAGAAGAGACACACCGACTGCGCTGACTTCATCTCACCTACCTGGTCGTGCCGTTTTATTTTTTTCTTCTGTTGCTTGAATCCTTTTCTTGACAGAAAGAGCTGACTTTAGTCCCTGTCACCCTCCCAGGTCACTCTAGCTGTCACAAAAGTCTCAATGGTTCTTGCAAGTTCTGTAGCTGCTACCCTCCCCAGACTTACCCCAAACAGTCACACAAGCTTCAAGAGGTTATTCTGCCGTGCTCCAGAGAACCTTCTTGACTCCTCCCAGTACTGTCCCAAGGAGATTCTCAGGACATTCCTTGGTCCGTTGCTCCCTCCTGCACAGGCCTGCTACGCCCAGTGCTTACCCTGGAACCTCTACAAAAACCCCAAGTGCATCTATCAGGATTATTTTTGTTAGTAAGCCAGACGGTGTGTGTAAAAGAAGTGTAGAGGAAGAACGCTTTCAACCTTTCTTCCGTAGGCACACGGGTCGAAGGGCTGACCACCTCAATTCAACCAAGAGCTCGTTTTATCAGGGCTGTGTTGGGATCTTAGGTACGACTCAGTCCACTTCTGGCTTCGAATATCTCAAAAGAGACTCCCCGTGTGCTGTTGTAGGCCCTTTTTGCTAGTGGGAATTTATTTATTCCTAATTATCTCAAACTGCAGGAGATTTCACACTGTCTTGCAAGCCTGGTCCCACCTCTGAGCCCTGCGTACTTCCTTCGCCCTAAGCAAATGTTCTGCGAGGAAGACCAGCCGTGCAGTGGGGCTCCTTTGTGTCCCGTCTATCACACAAACCCACGCAGGTGACCCGTCTTCACTTTGGCCAAGTCTTTCCACCTGTGTAAGCTGAAGCTCAGACACTGCCCACGCTCATCAAACACCTGAGAGAAGAAAAGGGCTGCGGAGGGCAGTTTACCAAGGGCAGCTCCCCCTGCCCCGGATTTTCCATCGTCTTAGTCTGCAGAGCTCCCTGATGACTTCTACAGCAAGATGTGGACAGCCATCCATTTTTCTGAGCTACTGCAGCAGGAGCGATGCTTGCATCTCCCTGCTTCATCCGACCTGGAAGGAGATAGTGAGTGGGTTTGACACAAGGGAGAGAGGAAACGGGCCTTCTGGGCATGAGGCCCCTGGTGAGGAGGTTCTGTGGTTCCTTTAATAGAATACTTTGTGGCAAAGACGCAAGGAACGGGACTAGGATGTTTGAAAAATGGCCAATATAACGGTCCCATCCCTCAAAATTCTGACATAATTATTTCGAGATGGGACCTGAGCACCAGGAATTCCGCTTTTTGGGTTATGTTAATGGCAGCAGATTTCAAGAACCACCCTTGTAGGCAGTGGGTAGTGAAAAGATTTTGAGCAGATATGAGATTATCTGATCTGTGTTTACATCGATGCGGCAGCTGGGGGCCGAGAGGACCTGTAGGTAGAGACCCCAGTCCCAGGGGGAGTGGTTGCAGGGAGAGCTGCTCAGTTACAACCACTACATTCTGTTGCTTGCTGGGCAGATTAGTAAGAAAGGGCCCAAAATGGCTCCTGGGAGAGGACAGTTAACAGAGGAGGGGAGCTGGGGGAGGGGCAGTGAGTGCCCTTGGGCTCTGTTGTGTCTGGGGGCGGGGCACGAAATAAAGTCAGTCTGTGGGCGGGGGGTGGAGCCAGTGCTGCAGATTCTGGCCATACTGTGGGGACAGTGCAAATGACATTAGCGAGGGAGCATCTCCTGTGGAAAAGGTGGCTGCAGAGATGTCAGGCAGTGAGCAGGGAGTGGTCAGTGGCATTACGGCCTGTGGAGAGCTCGAGGGCTGATCTTCCAGCGTGTGTGGGGGGTGCTGTAACGGGAGGTCTCGGCAGGGGCTGAGGTACCGGCAGGAGCAGGGCTTGTCTTGGAGGGCGGGGACAGTGTTTTCGTGAAACAGAAGTTGGGGGGAGTGTTACAGATGTGTTTCTGCCCCAATAGTGACATCTACCGGCCTTTAGGTGGGTCTTGAACTTGATCGCTTTCTCTCCCTTTGTTCCTCTCTCCCCCATTATGTAAGTTAAGTGCAACCAAAGATCTAGAATGAACCCATTAGCCAACACGAAGTCGGGAACCTTACCAATACGGTCACAACTATCTGTGTGTTCCTCACCATCCCATCCGTCCCCTTGATCCCCCAGAGGGATCTGCCACACTCAGTGTCATGTTCCTCGTTGTCCTTTTACGTGGTGTTTTACTGCAGGTGTGTATATGTACAGCAGGCCCTCAATGTCATAGGCGGGCGACTCTGAGCGAAATGATGCAATGAGACCAATTTCACCTCAAGTTGATGGATACAAATAAGAATTAAAGTCTAAGGCACCTGGTCTTGCTAGGGGGTCTCCCATCCAAGTACTAACCAGGGCCGACCCTGCT